TGTTTCACCATGAAGCATTTTAATGGCTGGCTGATGTAAATACCATCTGACATGCTGATAAGCATCTGATATACACGAGGACATCACATCACATAGTTATTGTATCTACATGTAGAGTCACGTACATGTGAGCCAATAAACAAACATTGGATCTGCTCAGTGCCTTCTAGTTATCAAAGTTTTTTGGTATACTGCTCCTCACCTGCCTCCTGAGCTGGTCATTTTATAATGAGGGAAACTGAACTAGAAGGATGCTCTTACTCTTTAACTCGTAGAAGACTCTTGAAGAATATACTTGCTTACTAGCTACAGTAAAGACATTCTGATGCAGTATTGCAGCTGCATTTAGTCATGAGGACAAGTGTACAAGCGCACATCGCTGGCTCAGGAATAGTTCAGCATTTAATGGAACATGACTGTAAAGATGAAGCACATCAAGAAGAACGTTAGTTTATAATGGGTCTTTTAAGAATGACTGCGTGTGAGAGTCTGTGTTGCTTTATTTGATGGAAATCTATGACTTTTCCCTTCCTTGTGACCATTCATAAACAAATTGTATATCATGCTTCAGTGAATGAAACTCCAACTAGCAAAACCAGTTTTAAAAATAAACAAAAAATTAATAGAAAATTTACTTTGGCATTGGCTATGACCTCTTTTGGGGATTTAAGTTATCATAAAGACCAGAAACAGAGGGAAACCGCAAGCATGATTCTGTCTAAGTACGGTTACAAAATCAACTAAAGTTCACTAATCAACACACAACATCTTGTTCGTTTCATCCATCCATTATCTATACACCGCTTGATCCTCACGAGGGTCGCGGGGGGGCTGGAGTCTATCCCAGCCGACTTAGGGCGAAGGCAGGGGACACCCTGGACAGGTCACCAGTCTATCACAGGGCTACACTTAGAGACAGACAACCAAGCACACTCACATTCACACCTACGGACAATTTAGAATCACCAATTAACCTCAACATGTTTTTGGACTGTGTGGGAGGAAGCCGGAGAACCCGGAGAGAACCCACGCTGCACGGGGAGAACATGCAAACTCCACGCAGAGTCCCCACCGGGACGCGAACCGGCAACCTTCTTGCTGCGAGGCAACATTGCTACCAACTGCGCCACCCTGCAGCCCTTGTTCGTTTCATTTGAAAAAAAAAAAAAAAATAGAAATTGTGGTTGTATTTACAGACAGATGTGTTAAATTTCAGACTTGTTGTCACAGTCAGGTTGCCAGACCACCCCCAAGGACTCTATGAAGTCACTGGCCCACGTGTAACTGCTCGCAACAACCACCACAGGGTTTTCTCCGCTCTTTATGATCAGCTAACTGTCTCTTGACCGTAGTTTTAAGCATAAAAATGCATCAGTGGTGTCAGTCTTCCTTACCTAACTGTTGGAAAAAAAGGCAAATAAGTATGTTCCCTAAAATTTCACATTATTACTATAACTGTGTCAAATGCATTTTATGATGAAGCAGAATTAAACAATTCACTGTAAAGCTTAAATTTGTCCAAAGCTGCAGGTAGCTCCAAGAACAATGGTTTGCTACTTGTTTTTCACCCCTGCAATCAAACGCGGTGCTGTTCAGGTAACGGGATAATGCTAATTTCTCAGCTGCTCAGTCTCATGCTCAACTACACACACACACACAGAGGCCCAGACACTGGTTCACACAGTGCAGTTGTGTAAGTCTCTGGAGTGAAGTTGATGTGAGTCTACATCTGCTGCAATAAGGGCACAAATGTTGCATCTTTATCTGTTTTTATCTGTCTGTCTGCTTGTCTCTGCATCTCTTTTTCTTCCACTTCCAGTCTTCTCTTCATCTCAGCAGCAGTTCAGCATAACATAAAAATAGCCCTTAGCTGTTTTATTATTCCTGCTTCCATTTGCCAATCAACACTGGAAAACAGCCTTTAGCGCCACTTGATGCTCACCAATTCCAAGGACACCCAGGCAAAACACTTACTACAGCTGTTTAGCCTTTACAATGTCTATGAATCCATGACTAAACCACACATTTACACAACTTGTAGTTTTATAGCAGGCATGAATGTACAGCGTGTAGCTTCCTCGATTTACACAATAGCCAGCTTTTACTGCGACTGAATCTTGTGTGCAAATGGGGATTGCCCGGATAGACGAGGCCACAAAAGAACCAATGTTTTCAGTTTTAAATGTCCCGTCGTGTCCTGTGATATTGAGTTTTTTTTCTTTTTAATTGTTTACACAGTTGCCCTGAGTAACCCACTTCTGGTATGCATATTTCTCTAGGATAGTAGTCACCGAGGCACAAATGAAGTGTTTCTCTGTATCATTTACTCGAGTGCAGTGTAGACGGCAACAAGCTTCTCTATAGTTATTCTAATTAAATTTGTCAACCCTTTAATGTCATTTTGTTCTTATATTGTAATCATGAGTTTGTCTTTACAATAACTGTTTACAGTAACATAACAAATACGCTGTCTTTTATTCAGGAACTTTGCTACAGTAGGTTGCATATGAGTGTAGCAAGCAATGGTTCAATTGCTGGTCCTAAAACATATCATGTGCTTCAGTTTTGATTTGATAAAACAGCTGAAATGTCCTCTTTCTGTAGAGTTACACTTGGCTCAGAGCTGTCCAGCCTGTCACTTCTTCCCTGAGGCTGGTTATTGAGGGTCTTTAGCGTAGAGAGTCTGAGGTATGCTCTTTTTTGGTACTTCTGATAATTATGGGGATTATGGAGCCATTTATTTGGGCTACTACAGACTTGCTGTTTTTTTTCCTTACCAGCTATTGTTCAGGTGCGTTATTAAACTCTCGCTGTGCAACAAAGCTGCTCAGTGGGCAAAGGCAGAGCACTGTGGGGGACACTTGGCAGCTTGCTACTGCTGAAGGTTGCATTGTTCCACCGAGGTTCTTGCTAAAACAGTACTGAATTTGCAGAGCATTGTTAAACCCACTGCAGGACATTCAGTGGCTTTTTTGTGCATTTTTGTGCAACAGCTCCATCAATTTGAAGTACAAAACTTTTGTTTGGTACAGGCTGTTGTGGTCAATACACTGCCTGGGTGTAAGCGCTGCCTGAGGGGACAACGTCAGGAGAAATCAAGTCCTATTGACACATCTGCAAGCAAGTCAGACTGTTACACAGATTTTGCTTGACCTTGGCTTCTACCTTTGGTTCTGACTTAGATTATCATATGCGGAAAATAGCAGGGTTTGGAACAACTTGCAAGCATTCTTTTACTTTGACCTTTTTAGCGAAAATAATCTTGGGATTGGACAAAATTGCAGGAAAATACTGCAGCAATCTGTTGGATTTACCTTGAAAATTGCAAAATTGTAAACACATGGAGATACAAGTAAAAAAAAATAAAAATCTGTTAAAAATCTTCATGTACTTGGAATTCTAATCACCCGTTTATAATATAATTAATCTGTTCAATATTATACAAGACAGTGTAAACAGGGGACCCTACATATGAAATGCAGACAGAGAATACACAACACGTTGCTTTACCACAAACCCACAAGTTCACAATTCTAGCAGTATGCGCCTCAGCCCACAGGGCGATCAAAACCCAGCAGCCCTCTCATCACACACGCCCCCATACTGTAAAGATGTCTTTCAGCTGCCTTTAATTTTTCAGTTACTGCTACACGTGCAATAACAAACTTAAAATGTCAAAATCTTCTTCTCCTTTGCAACTGCAGGTCACTAAAGCAAGTTACAAGCTAATTTAACCGCAGCTTAAGCTATATTTATCTTGTGCTGATACTGTACTTTAATAAGCGTAAAGATCTGTCTGGCAACTCTAATTTATCCACTCACAAGACAAGGGAGAAGTCAAGTTTCTATTAGGTACAAAATAGCATTTTGTTCCATCTGCCCTTTGCATGCTCTCCTGCCCTCTCTCTCACACCCCTTCCAATAATCTGTTTCCTGCTCTTATCCATTTCCCCTCCTTTTTTCCTCACTCATGCCCCTTCATTCCTTTTCTCCTCTCCCTGCTTCCCTTCTATCATCCATTCTTACTCCAGTCTCATTGAGTAATGTGGATCCCCTTTTTTCCCTCCTTTACCCTCTTTCTCTTCATTCTTTCCATCTCTGTCCTCTATTCTCCTTTACCCTTGCCTTCTGTCCCTCTCTGCTGCCTGCCCTGGTTTCACTGACAGGCTGCAGGCAGTGAGGGGGAGGAAATGCTGTGGCATTATACAGCAAACATCCCTAATAGGCTAATCTAATCTAATCTCTTTGCGGTCTATGGCCCTGTGTTTACTTTCGGCCCCGTGTCTGCATACTGGTTCTGCTTCGCCTCGCTGAATGCAGCTTTGTTCCCACTGAAAACTCATCATCGGTGTGATCTCGGGAACGGGCGCCAACTCCACAACTGTCTGCCCATGAAGCCTGCAGGCAGGAGATCGTTCTCATCTTTATGGGGTTTGTGGGGCTGTTGTTGTTTGTTGCAGTACTGAGGGTGCCTCCCTGTCGCTAACCCTGACAGCTGACCTCTCTGTGCCATTTTGCAGATTAGTTTCTGAGCTGAAATACAAAAATTTTTACCCTACTGCCAGCACGGCAGCATCTTAAAATACCAAGGAGGCAGGACACCACATGACAAGGTACAAAAGTGCCTGACAGAACTGAAAAACCAGTCAAAAGTTCACTGCACATTCATGAAGCAAAGTTCACCGAAGGACAACAGCTTGTACATAACACTGGATCTGCACAATGACATCAATTCAGAAAAGAACAATAAAGGATAACAACATATTTTCAAATTGCACAATTAAATTAAAAAGAGGAGAAAGACAAAAAGGACAGATGAGGGTGTAATATACCAGCCATGTAGCAAGGATGAAAGAAAGCATAACCACATTAGAAAACTCTTATAATTATATACTACAAGTACTGCTGGATTGTGATTTATCCTACCAGCAGTTTTTTATTGCTGATATTTTTGACTATAACACCTTAGATGTGTTGAAATCAGCGCTTCTGTTACTCACCCCTGACAGCTGTGGACATCAGGACCATCTCCATCAACAGGCAAATCCAGAAAAGCTCCATTTTCTTTAACTAATAAAGACAAATTGTCTGATCTGAGGGAAATGAAATGGAAAAAAAAAAGCATGAACATGATTATTAAAGTGAATCTAGAGATTGACGATATATTTAACCAGCATAAATCATCACTTCATCAGAATTCCTGCATTGTTCTCTGTCCTCATAGACATAAGGCACATTCACTTTGACTATATAACTGTGTTGGAACAAAAAAACATCAAGCTCCCAAAGACAGAAGACATGTGGTGAAATGATCCAAGCACTCACTTCTAAAAAGTTTTTATCTTAATCTCATCTTTTTCGCATACTGCGTCTTCCAAACGGTTTCTTGATCGACTCCGTGGCAGTCAGAACAAAGTGAGGTGTTCATCATGGACCAGACACGAGTATAAATCTGCCTGAAGATTTTCTGGAAGTCAGACTACACTTTTCCTCGCAGATTTATTCTGTCCACCTGTCCACATGTCTCTTCTTACAGTGGTTTTAATCTTTCTGCCACATAAATTCTTCCCCAAACCTTACGGGATCTTATTTCAATACTTCACATGCTGTATCTTGGATCAGTATCTGTGATCCTCGGCGTCTCAGCTCTCTGCACACTTGAAAGTGCAGCTCGACTAATTTGGCAGTTTGTGACAATCGAGTATAGGTTTTCAAATTACATCAGATTAAAGTGTAATTTCATTTGCATAAAGAAATTTACCACCGTGATAATATAGTAAATATTTTTCCCCCAAGTTTGCATAAGCACTTTAAGGAAGAATTAAAAGTAGCTGCAAGGTAAAGATTAAAGGTTTGAAAGGGTAGAAAAGCATGCAACCTGTGACTGTAGGATTTATGCATTTGTATAATATATATATAACACTAATTTAATTTTAATCTTAAAAAAAGGATGCAACTATGATAGAACCTGCTTCTCTGCATTAATACAGTTAGATATATTCACCCTCCTTTATTAAAGCGTGTTGTACTGTGTACATGTGCTGGTAAAAGTTGTGGCTACTTTAGTTTGATGAACTTGCAACAGGTTGGAAGCTCGTTTTTCATAGATTTTGTTATTCTTAACTGTAAGTCACAACTTCTGTAGATGAAGACAGTTGAAGACAAGAATATGACAGAAGGTGGAGTTCAAATTAAACTTGATTTAAAAACACCAACAAAAGGCAAAGAAAAAGCTAATACACAGATAAACACAATATGACAGTAGACTCACTATAAAGAGCGACAGACAGGCTTTGTGGGTACATACAGAGACTTTGGCTGGAAAAATGAAGTTGAACTTACTGTACAATTCCCAGCAGTGATGAGAAATCCTCAGTATGTTAGCCGCTGGTTACCTGCACGTTTACCATGCCGTTAGTCCGCAGAAAGAAAAAAAAAAGAAAAAAAAATGCGCACCTTCTTTCCAATGACTTGAAGATTTCGAGACTTAATCCGTGATTCAACCCGAGAATAATGTCTGGACGCGTCTGTCAGTGAAGTTGTAAATGAAATGGACTCGGACAAAGTACACAAAAGAAGCTAAAAGCGGGGGGAAAAAAAGTGTGAATAAAAGTAGAAAAAATATAAAATTCACAAGCTGGGTCAAACACGTGAGCGCCCACAGTGTGTCTGTAGTGTTTCTGAATGACAGTCCGCATGTAAAGCGCTCGAAGCAAAGCGCAGAGGGAGAAGACACAAAGACACACAATCCTAACTACATTCTCGCCACTTTAAGGAGCTATTCAGACGAGTATGTGTAAAATTTCCAGCTGAATGCTACATCCACATTGCCTCCAGCAGCGGCTCACCAACTGAGCTTCAGCCGCAGGCGAGAAAACAAACTGCGACGACGGACGGTCCCAGCACGGAACTTTCAGCCAATCAGAGCGCAGGCCAATCAGGGGGCGGACCAATCACAGAGCAGGAAAGTGCAGGACAAATTTGGAGCGGTTCAGGGTGGTGAAGAGGGGAAATTATTATTATTAATCATTTGTTGCTAACAGCAATGTTTAACAAAGTGATGTGAACCTTACAGCAAAAGACCAAAGGGGGGCTACAGGAGTCTATGGAAAAGATTTGGAGATTTCTATCAATAAAATGATGGTTGTTATTGATCCGTTTAATTCAGTGGGCTATCACCATAGTGATCATCATGATCATACTTATCATCATCATCATCACCATTGTCATTATAATTATTCATGTTATTACTATTATTATTACTATTGTTATTATTATTATTAGCAGAAGTTGTAGTAGTAATAATAGTAGCAGCAGTGTAATATTAGCTATAGTATATGTGCTATTTAGAATAGAGAAAGTTTTCTCTATTACATTCATTTCTATTTTATTTTATTCATAATTTCTAGCGCATCTATAGCCATGTGGTCCAGGACAGCTTGCTCAAGGTAACATTGTAGACCTACACTGTCACCTTGTGGCATTTAGACTTTATTACAGCAGTATGCTTTCAAAAATAATCCCTCACATAAACTGTGTCACATAAATTAACATAGTGGCAATGTCTTGCTGTGTTTTTGGAGAGATATGGATAAATAATTTAATACATATATATATATATATATATATATGTATATATGCGAAGAGTTCATTTCCAAAAACAGATAACTCCATCTTCACAAACCTTCAGAAAACCCACTTTTCCATCGTCTACCTGAGACAACATGAATCAAACTAAAGTTATCTCTATGTATGCCATGTCATTTCTACTGAGTCAAATCCACTCAGCTTCAGTTTGATTGACATAATCTCAAATAAACAACAAAAAAATACGTTTTCTGAAAATCTACGAAAAAGGAGTTATCTGTTTTTGCAAATAAACTCTTCGCATATATATATATATAAATCACACATGCACACAACAGTATGTCTGCAGCACAAAGTACATAAACCTTTAGTCCAAACACATTGTTATTTAATAATTTCTTTCTTAAAAAAAAATTAATTTCTATTGTAATGATGAGAAAAGGTGTAAATTTAACCAATTGTGCACGAGAAGTTTTGGAATTGTTCCACTGACCCTGGTCGGGTGTGGCAGGACAAAGATCAACTGGAGTGAACAGTAGACAAAACCTCCTTTGACTAGTGACTATTCAAGACCACCTTAAAATTCAACTTTAATCAAATGACATGATGCCACAGATGACAAGAGGAAGACCAGAACAGGCTGCTGGCAGCTTAATGCTGAAACGTCAGTTAGAACCGTCGTCACTTGAATGCCAACAACTTCACTATTTGTCATGTAGGACATAATTTCAGGCTGCACGGTATGACAGACAATCCGTCACATGATGTTGTCTGACAACATGACCTTGTCCCCCAAAATGTCCACTGACTTCACCAAGGCCTTAAAAAAAGCATTGGAGAACATTCCACAAGGCAGCATAGACAACCCCATGAACTCCATGTGTTGCAGATTTACTGATGCTACTGACTTGTGATTTCTAGTCTACGACATCACTCGTGATTCATCCTTTATCATTCCCCATGTTGTTTCTCGACCTCCGTTCTGTGTTGGAGATGCTGTGTTGCTGTGTGGTGGATCAATAAATATATATTCTCCTATGTTAAAAAGAATGGATCCAGTTTTATAAGAATGTTACAGGCTGTGTTGTGTTCAGTATATATTTCTGCACAAATCTGATCTAAACCATAATGAGATTTTTATAGAAGCCCTAAAAGTAGATAAAGAGAATCAACAACAACAACAGCAAAAACTAGGCAAAAATATTATATGTGGTAATTTATTTAATGAGAACGATGATCTAATATTACTAATATTTTCTGTATGTGGCAAAAGTATTCGAATTTCTGACATTAGCAGTTAATTTGAAGGTTAAATTAGAGTCAGGTGTTTTCAGACAATGCAATGGCAATCAGGTGTGACTGAAATCTTTCAAGTTCTGATCTTCACAACACATTTCTGGAAGTGTCATGGCATGAACAAAGATTTCTTAGAACTTCAGAAAGAAAGTTGTAAAAGCCACAGTTCTCAATAAAGAACATTGCTGCACACATGAAGTTTGCTAAAGATTATGTGGACAAATCAGAACGCCATTGGGTACATTTTTTTGTGGATGACACTTAAATAGGACTTTTGGGTTGCAATGAGAAGTATTATGTTTGGAGAAAGAAAAATTCTGCATTCCAGCATAAGGCCCTTATCCCATCTGTGAACCACTGAGGTAGTATCATATTTTTGCTGAATCTAGGCCAGGGTGGCTTACCGTCACTGATGAAACAATGAATTTTAAACTATACCAGAAATTCAAAGGAAAATATCTGGACATCTGGCCGTGAACTGAATCTGTAGAGAAAGTGTGTCATGCAGCAAAACAATGACCCTGAGCGCACAAGTCGTTCCAGCAAAGAAAGGTTAAAGAAGAATAAAGTTAATGTCCTGGAACGACCAAGTCAAAGTCCTGAGTTTTATACAATAGAAATGTTGTGGAAGGAGCTGAGGTGAGCAGTTCATGTGAAGAAACTCACCAACATCCCAGAGTTGAAATTGTTCTGCATGAAGGAATGGGCTGAAATTCGTCCAAGCCGATGTGCAGGACGGATCCACAGAAACCAGAAACTTTTAAATGCAGTTATTGCAGCACAAGGGGGTCTCAAGCAAAACCAAAAAGCAAAGGTTCACGTACTTTTGCCACTCACAGATAGGTTATACTGGACTTTTGACTCCAAACTGTGCATCCAAGTGCTTTCTTATCTTCTTGTACAATTTTGCAGCTTCTACAATCTTATGCAACTATTTCAAAACAGTTGTTTGTTAGTAAATGAATAACCATAGACTACATACCCTTTATAATTCTACTCTATTTTACACTTTAAAGCTGCAGTGCCATCTTGTGGTAGAAACAGAAACATCACACTGTGCTGTGAGAAGCCTTTTATCTTTGAGGAATAACATCAACAAATGGTTCGCAAGAGGATGACAGACGTATACAACTTTGGACCAATCACAAGCGCTTAAATCGCATCTTAAACCTAAAAATTATATTCGGAACTGTGTCAGAGTCATACATGCAGTTAAACTTGAATTTCTTAAAGTGTATAAAATGCTTAGCATATTGCAATGGAGGGCAGTTTTCAGTGTATTCACTCAAATCACTATCAATTGACATAAATATCATTGTTACTCTAAGGGCTCCTAAAATGGAAATTTTTTTTTTTTTTTTTTTTAAATCCCTTCACTGTCCAAAGGAGTGCATTTCGTGTCCCAACAACAAGTGTTACATATGTTTACAATCTTGACATACAGCCGACAAATAATGGAAGGAGGAATCAGTGTTCCCAAACAAGTGGAATTCATTCAACTGTCAGTTGCACAAAACAAAAACTGATTGATTGTCAATATGTCACATAAATGAGAGGTGATAATGTGTGATGATACAATCCAAACAGTCCTGTGACTACAGATGGTTTTACTTTGTCCTATTCATATAATCCATCCATCCATCATCTATACACCGCTTAATCCTCACTAGGGTCATGGGGGGCTGGAGTCTATCCCAGCTGACTCAGGGTGAAGGCAGGGGACACCCTGGACAGGTCGCCAGTCTATCGCAGGGCCACACATAGAGACAGACAACCACACTCACAGTCACACCTACGGACAATTTAGAATCACCAATTAACCTCAACATGTTTTTGGACTGTGTGGGAGGAAGCCGGAGAACCCAGAGAGAACCCACGCTGCACGGGGAGAACATGCAAACTCCACGCAGAAAGATTCCGGTGCCCCCACCGGGACGCGAACCGGCAACCTTCTTGCTGCGAGACAACAGTGCTACCAACGGAATCACCTTGCAGCCCTACTCATATAATGTCTTCTTATATTTATCATACCTCATTGAGTGATGATCAGAATCTGTAAGAAATCATATCTCCAACATACTTTTGCTGGATTAAAAAGAAATCTCTTAAAATCAAGATGCATGTTTGATCCTCAGTGGAGATGCAGTGAGTTTGCATGTTAATGATAATGTAATCCAAACATTTCTGTCGACCTTCAAGTAATCAGACCTACTGTACCTCAGGGAGCAAAGCAGAAGTACTTTCTGAAAATGCTGACGGAGGTTTTGTGCAAGTTGAGACCACATCTGAGTAACCATGAAACACATTTGACCCAGTAGCCTCAGTCGTCCCTTCTTTATCTTTAGGTGAGTAAAGACGAAAAACACATTTAGAAAACAAAAGATATAAAATTCTTGGGAAAGGAATCATCTCTGTGATGTTCCCAGCTTTGTAAAAGCCTGTTTAAACAAAGCTTTAAGCATGAATTAAAGTTCTGCAGTCCTAAGTCCTCTGAAATTAATCTAAATGATTTCACGTCTAGCTTGCCTTTAGGCTCAAAACAACCCAAGCTATGTCTAAAATGAGTTGAAGGAAACTGCAGGACATCCAGTGCTTTGCATCAGTCATCCCGTCATTTAATACAGCTATCTCACAGCAACGATTGGGTTTAGCCGTGAAACACAGCAGAGTATTGTCTATGGCTGTGTTCCACTTCTATGGCTTTAACCACTATGTTTTATTAGGAGCGGGCCCGTTGGAAAAATAACTATCTTCAGATTTCTATAGAGCAAACCTAAAACTCTTGAAGATCTTTTAATGCTACCTGGAAATACCATAAATTTGAGATGAATTCAAAAACCAGAGAAACGAAACAAAGCAGGCCAACCACCCAGTTTCAGAGTAGAAACACACACACTGAAAGTATTAAGTATAATTGAGGATGATGTTGAAAAGAAC